GCTGTGGAGTTTTACAGAAGCCGCATTTCGGTCCTGATTTATACTTCGCCCCTCGCTCATGCCTCTCCCTCCCTTAGGCTGATAGCAGTCCACAGTAGACCTATAAAACGTCAATCCCCTCATGTGATGTAGTGCGTGCTCTGCTGTCAGCCATCGCAGAGGATTACTGGCAGGGTTGTGAGTTTTCTGCCGGCCGGCTGCATCCAAATGAGGAGAAGAAGGAGGAAATGGAAGTGGAGAAGCTGCAGAGGGGTCGACCGGTGTCACTGAAATGTGATCTTTAGGTCTCACAAAACACTTTTTTTGATTATTACACTCTGACCAAGTATACAATGTCCTGTAATGTGAAGATATGGGTCAGGTAACAAAGATTTATGGGCTCAGGGGAGGGGATGTCCGATGGAAAATGGAACAGACGGGCTATGTTATGTGTGCAGTATTGAATCAAGCGCCAACAAACTGGACAGTTTCCAGCTTCTATAAAAAAGCAGTAGGTGAGATGAATCCCTCCAGTGTGAGGCTCTTTTAGTAAACAATGTTGTCTTGGCATGCTGTCGATATTTGGAGACAGAAATGCACCCGGAGATTTCATATACATTTGAGAGGCATCAGAATGTAAAGAAAATGTTTTTTGTGTAATCAGATGTTCTCAGCAAAGAGCTTTTTTGATGGAAAATTAAAAAGAAAAACCTCAAATAACCACAAGAGATATGTTTACTTGAGAGGGTAAACGTTGCTTTATTGAAATTCTCTTGCCACAGAAGACACGTTAAAATAGGCCATATTTCACTGTTTGCTCAGCAAAGAAAAATATTCCAGCTTCTAACAAGGAGCATCGTCAAATATGAAGCATTAAACTGTCTGACATTAAGTGTGACTTCCTTCCTTTTCTTTTTTGTATTTACTTATATTGGCATTTACTATCACACAAAGTTTGCAAAAGGTATTTGTACATATATATGTGTTCTTATGAGGAATCCTGGTATATGTTATTTATGTGTGCATGTGTGAGGGCCTACAAATGCCTGACACACTCCTCGGCTCACATATGTGCAATGTACGTACGTGCTTTTCATTAGGAATCGGTGTGATTTAAGGCAGTACTTGGCAGCGCTCCAAAGGTTCTGCAAACGTCAGCAGCTCGGCCAGCTAGCTGAGAAGGATGGGGGAGGGGGGGGGGGGGAAGAGAGCAGATGGAGAGAAAGAGAGATGGAAAGTTAGAGGTAGGGAGGAAAGAATAGAGTGGTGACGTGATGGAGAGGTTAGCAGGGATATGGATGGATGGAGAAATGAGGGAACCGAGGGAGAGATATAGGAAAGGGCTGAAATATTAAAGAGTGATAGGCAACGCAGCAGGCAACACACTCTCACTCCCTAAACGTCCAGGATCTACGCTTGGTCAGGGTCCTATGGCGTGCAGTTGTGACGCGCCGAGTCTCCTTCAGCTTCATAAACGGACGCAAAGAGCTTTCAACTGATTGCAATGTATTCCCATCGGCGGCGGTATTTGACGCTCAGGGAAGCACCGCATCGGTCCATGTCGGCGGCAGTTAAAGGCAATGTGAGCGTCCATTCCCATTGGATAACGGAGGATTTTACACCCGGAAGTAAGTATTCTCCTTACTGTCGATTGATTTTACAGCGATATCTGCACTACCCATCAACTCATCAACACCAGATTATCCTTGTTAATTACATAACATTGATTGGTTTAAATTGTGTGCAATGCTTTTGTATTTTTCCCCTTCGATTCGGAGAAACAAATATTTTTTCGGAGTTTAGGATGGCAGAAGACACTACACTACCCAGAATCCTCAGCTATCGTTTGGGACTACACCATGTGCTTTGCTCGACAAACCCCGTGATTAGTTCTCAAGCTCTGTGATTGGTTGACCTCCAACTTCATTCCATATGAAAAAAAAACGTTTCGTAAAAGATCAAATCATACTTTATTCAGCAGTGCTTGCTTTACTCTTTGAAAGTCATCACATGAATGCATTTTAATAAATGGTTCGGCTGCATTAAACATTACACATCTGTCGTAGTTCTTTATTTATCTACAGAGATCGGGCCTCAGAATCGACTGGAAACTATTCTTTTACCGTTCTGTTTTAATTTCACAATAAAGTTAGTAGTAATATTTTGTTTTGATATTATTGTTTTTTATTAACTACTAGACCGCTGGGTCATGTTAAGACCATCTTTTCTGTGTTGCTGTGGGTTTTTTCCATCGCTTTTGTGTTACAAATATCAAAACAATAACTACATATATCCGTCGTAAACTAAACCGGAAACAGCAGTATATTTTATTTTGTTAACACTGTAAACTTGACAGCTTTTTAACCCAAAGAAGGTCAATTATAGAAATATAGAATAGAAAATATCAAGAAGATACTGTAAATGGTATCTAGAATAAAACAGTTTAGTGCCGGATGTACAAAGATATTAATAGGAGGATGTGCAAAACAGACAAACTAATTAGGCTTTATTTAAACATTAAATAATACTTTAGGTTAAGGTCTTCTTTTAAATACATGTAAGCAAAAAGCTTTGGGGGTATCTTTATTAAGCCTGACAAAGTACTTAAGTTTTTAATTCATTGCATAACTACACCGTAGTTGTGTATATGATGTCAATAAACCTTTGAAAATCTTGAAAGGGATATGCAAAATAGCAGAGGTGGGAGTAAGTCCTACATGTGCAAGTCATGAGCAAGTCTCAAGTCTTGACCTACAAGTATCAAGCAAGTCCCAAGTCACTGTGGTGAGAGTCAAGCAAGTCAAGTCAAGTCATTGCTCAGGTCAATTCAAGTCAAGTCAAGTCATACGAAATTCTGATGAATAAGCCCAGTTTCCGTATTTAAATCAGTTAAAAGACAGTGGTTATGAAAATGGATTTAACCCACACTATGATCTTCATTACATACACAGTTAATCATTTGAAATCTAATTTAGACCGATGACAATCATATTAGATTCATATTAACCCTAGAACTGCAGACAATATAGCTAGGACTCAATCAAAAAGTCTGTTCAAAAAGGCAGAATTCCAGGTAAGAAAATCATATATGGCATTTGCCATTACACATATTTAATTTACATTTCTGTTAACACTAGAACCGCCAACAGCGTCAGCACCTACATAGATATCATTTTCAAATAATTTAATTTGTTCCTCTTCATCATTTCCTTATAAACTAAGTAGGACGATTTAAAACTCACTTAATTGGGTTAATTTTGAAATGGCTTCAGTTTATCATCATAACAGATCAAAAAGTTCAGATTCATTTTTACAATAAATCAAGGAATGATGCACTTCTACAAACAAAAACAACATAATTAAAACATTTAAACAAACTACTAAAAGTAGATGAACTACATTATTCAAAGTTTACAGTAACTTCTGATAATAACACAGGGGAAATAAACGAGGCATCTCTTTTCCTCTCTCTCTCTCTCTCTCTCTCTCCCTCTCCTGACAGCCTGTCAGTATCAGGGTTAGTCAAAATGAAGGACACGTTCGATTC